TGGCTTGTTTGGAAAGAGGAATAAAGATTTACTATATTTTAGTGTGAAAGATGTTTTACAATTACTTTATACTGTAAGACACTGTATCTAAGAATGAATATGTGTGTACTGCTAGTTTTTTTAAACCTGTTAAAAGCAGCTCGTAGGTCCCAAATCCAGTGCCCACGTTGCAGCCTGATCACCAGATGAGGTTCTAAGCTTTGATTTTATCACATCTGTATACATTACCTAGAGCAACAACGTCCTGGGCTTGTAGCTTTTCTACACATAGTGGTGTAACTGCTCTAATTGGACAAATTCATACCATTGAAAGATGACTTATATGCCTATAGCCTGTTTCCCTACGTCTGTTGTTTGTGCCCACCAGGGAACTTATCCCATCATAGGTATTTTAGTAGAGTCACCCACCTCTTGTCTGCTGCTACAATTTTCAAGCGTGGCTGGTAATGCAATAACTGTCTCAGATATATTAGGAGCTGGCAGAGTAAGCTGCAAAATGAGAAAACCGCTAAAAAATGATTTAATATGTAAAAATGAACAAATAATAACCTCATGCTATTTGTGCCAATCTTGTGGCTTATGAAATTCTGGGACTGATGATCTTACCAACAGCAGGATGATTAAAACACCACACGGCCGGTGCATGAACAGTCTCAGTAAGAAGCCCATGTGCATAGAATTAATTTCCCTCTGGGCTGGATGAAGCTTAGAGCACTAAGATAATACTGTTTTACTTTTGGTTTGGGGAGGTGGAAAAGGTTTTTGGGAGAGGACTGTCTTTCAAGTTTTGAGTTTGAATTGGTACCTGTAATGTTTGTGAAGATTGCACATGCAGTCACAACACTGGTCACTCTCAAATGTATAACTTCTTCAGCTTCACTGGGTTGTGAATATAACATCGGCTACAAAAACTGATGGTCTCTTCTGATGATTTTAAGCTCTATATTTACTACAAAGGAAGACAAAATCATTTGCTTGTGCAATATTATAGTTAAACTTGCCTAGCCGGAATTATTATATAGATATCTGACTCATTAGTCCCACATACACACCTACTAACACCCTAGTCTGTGCAGGATTGAAATCATATAGGATTGTGGTTTTGAAGACTGGGCATGCATAGATGCACTAAGAACTAAGCATCAAAACCTTTTGACATTTTTCCTCAAGACTGCCTACTTAGAAGAGAGTCCAAGACTGGTGATCCCTGCTTTCTGTCATAGATATTTCACCCAGATTCAGATTCCAGTCTTCTTGCCCTCTCACACTCATTCACTTTAAGTATTACCTATTCCAAGCAAGAAAATGACAGCCCTTTCTTCCCTAAAACACTGGTCATGGCTCCTGCTTTGGAGCAGCCCGCAGTCCTTGAGCCAGCTGGAAGAGTTTCATATACCCAGACAGAAGCAGTTGCTACTCCCATGTTTGCCTTTCTCTTTAATGAGTTGTTCACTGACTAGGACAAGGCGCTTTCCTACTGACCACGAAAATGCTCAGCCTCAGAGTGAGACCTTTTTATAAGTAATCCTTATTTTTACCTAAACATTAAAAAAAATGCTAATCTTCTTGTGGTGCCAAAGGATGCCCTCACACCATCGGGCCCCTGTCAGTCCTGCCAGCTGTATCTCTGAAGGATTCTGTGATATGGTAGCAAGCCATAGCACACCTTACAATTTTCCTTACTGGTTATTCTTATCAATGCACCATAGCTTTTAACTCACAAAGAAAACAGTCACTGTGATAAATACATTTACACTTTCATTAGATAAGGACAGTCCATCCAAATGTGTCTAAAAGTCACTGCAACCTAACTAATTAGACAGGAAATTTAGAAACTGAAACTACTGTATAAGGAAATTTTCAAGTAGTGCTTTATTTGGGGGTGCTGTCATTAGCAGTGCACATGGACAGAAAAAGATGCACAAAGCAGAATAATTTTTGCAAACATAACACATACACCTGATTACTGAGCAATTTATTGCTGATCTATATATAGAGTAGGATCCTTGGGAATCTGTGCGAGGCATTTCGGGATACAACCTTTGTGCATTCATGTATGCAGAGGCCTACAAATCTGCACCATAATTAAAATGTGCATATTTTAAATATAGCTATGACTTTACACAAACCTCAGATTGCAGGAGGACCCGAGTCCTCAGCTGAGAAGTGTCATTTGTTTAGCAGAATCAGCCAAGAGAAAAGTTCAAATTTACTCTAGGTGTATCTAGACAGAGAAATACTTGTCTTATTTTTTGTGTCTATGAATTCCTTCATACACTTTTGTGTATTTCAGACATATTTCTTTAACAAATACTTTGCTTACATTTACCTTAAACCGTTTTGGATTAAGGGTGATTTAAATTAAATGAGGTGCCTTCCACTTAGAGACATGGCAATCTGTAATATAGGGACTAGACTATTTATACAGAGCTCACCTGTCTCCTATACTTGTCCAAACCTACAGTGCCCTGACTATGTCTGTAACAGCCTGCAAAACTATATTCTAGCAAACTCGAACTGTCAAATGTCTTCTTGGCATAAACGAGATTCTGATATGTTTTGTGATGCTGTGTAGTATTTTATTTTGAAACCTGTTCCAGTGAAATCTCCATGATATAAAAAAGATCAGAGGAGTCTCAGTACATTTCCTAAAAATGACAAAGCTTTAAAATTTTTCAAAGAGAAAGCAAAAGAGAGTAGAAAAAGGCAACAAGTACCCAGTAAGACAGTAAAAAGCAAAGGTTGTCTTCATGTGGAATCGAAATCTACTTCTAAGCTTTAGTTGCACTCTCTTACTCTTATACTACCAACATCAGTGGAAATGCAGATCGGTGATTACCCAAGGGCACTACCATTTTCTAGCAGAAATAGTAGTTGCATTTATTCAATCTTTCGGAAATAATCCATGGAGTTTGCAAAATTTTACAGTTTATTGCTACCAAGGTCACAGTAACATGGGTTTTCTTTTGCAATCCATCAGGAGAATCTGAAAGACAACGTATATCATACAGAGAGTATCGTAACATTAACCCAATACATTCAGTGCTGTTCGTTGCAGCTTTATGACAATGAGCCTTGAGATTAGTCTTCTGAATCATGCTTGCACACTGAAGTATGTGAAAGTCATATTGTTTCCAATGAAATAACATAGTACATACAGACTTGGCAGATTCCTGACCTCTACAGTTTTTGACAGTGTCCCAAATTTAGGACTGAGAATGTCAGACTGACCCTGCATTTGGCAAGAATAATAGAAGTCCTGGTTTTATCAAACTTTGCTTCAAATAAGATCTCATTTCCATTAAAAAAAAAATCTCTGATTTTATACTATTAATGTAGTATTTGCATTTGTAAATAAGTAGAAAATTTAGCTGTCCCTAATTTAATTTAGTGTGTTGGATTTGTGTGTTGGAGTGAGGCTCATACACCATAAAAGGAAAAATAAAATTAAATTGGTGGTGTTTGTATATGGCAATATTTCTTATCTTTCAGAATACTGCAAATTAAATGTGAAAAAAATGAGAGTTTTGAGCATGCAATAAAGTTCTGTGTTCAGTTGTTTGTCCTGTATCACTCTTATTGCAAATGCTAAAATGAAGTTGTTGACTCTGCTATTTAAATCAGAAAAAATATCAATGGCTTAATGCTATTGTGAACCTGGCAGTATAAGGGATAAGACGAAATCTTCAGAAGTTTGCAATGGTGGGTTTAATTGATACTCTTAAAATCCACATTCTTTTTTTCTCTCATTTTCTGACTTCATTTCTGAGTCAGAGTCAGAGAGGGTGGAGTATAATAATTCTACCCAGGTCATTTGACCAGGCAAGAAGCCCAAGAAAAATTACTTTTCCATATACTGACATTAATAAGTAGTAGAATCCCAAAGTTATTTTGCAAGACTTCAATTAGTATTTTGAACTTCACATTGTATAAATTAAATAGTTGTTTCTCAAGACCCTTGTAGTATGGCTTCTCCTTGTAAAGTACACTGATTTTGTTTTTTAGGCCACTCGGTGTATCATTTTCTTTCACATTTTCTTTATGTGTATTCTTTGAATTCACAGTGGGTGTTACAAAATGCCATACAGTTTCTACATGGAGATCACCCAGGTGATGACAACATGCACTTTTTGCAGTAAGCTCAACCAAAATGCATGGGATTGAGTTACTATTGAGACAGATTTATCTTGTTAAGGTTCTTGGCTTTGCTCCTCTCCACACCCTTCATGATACAACCTCCATATTAGTGTCCTTCCATGGGGAAAGACCAGTACACAAGTGTTCCTCTCACATTCACAACTCATCTACATCCAGGTGTAATGTTTTGTAGCAGGACAGTTCTGACAACCAATTTAATCGAATTAGCCAAAAAAAAAGTCTTTTATCTGTTTTTTTTTTTTGGACTACATTTAAAAAGTCTTTTATCTGGTGGTTTGTTTTTTTTTTTTTTTTGGACTACATTTAACATCTCTGTTACTCTACACTCAGGCTAAATAGTTTATTCTTAAAAAAATCATACCTCTGTTTCCTACCTCTAGAAATCAACTTTACAGTCACTTCTGAGATCTCAAATATGCCCAGAGAGGACTACAAGCAAATACCTGATGCTCCAGTGCACAAACTCCAGAGCAAGAAGACTCTGCTGACCACCATGCCCTGTCTTCTTCAGGGTAAATACTTTCCAGAATCCAGCTTTACTCAAATTGATCAACAGCCTCTCTAGCCCACTTTTATCTGCGTTTGGATTCAGGTGTTACTGGAATACAATGCTCATACAGGCTTTACCAAGAGTTGAGGCAGAATCCGATCAAAAAAGAAAGACTCCAAGATGGCAACAAGTGTGAATTCGCAATCGGTATTTTACATTTTGCACTGCAAATAAAACATCCTATTAGGCCTTTCCGATATAAACGTGATCCAGTGTATTGTACCAGACATTACCACACATTTTTTCAAATTTCAAATGAAAAACATGAAGAAAATAAAATCGTATATCTTACTTTCGACGGAACATTTCTGCAAATATGCAGCCAACACTCCAAAGATCAACTGGTGTTGCATAGCTGGACTGAAGCAAAACTTCAGGAGCTCTATACCACAAAGTAACGACCTGTAAAACAAAAAGGAACATAAGAGAGAGCACGCTTAGTCACAGAATTACAACCTCTTAAGCGTTCTGTATACAGCTCCTATTTAGTTTACTCCAAATTGTAAACTCTCACGGATTAGGGCAAACTGGTTTGGCTGGTGCATAGGAAAGGGTCCTGTATGGAAAATCTCAATATAGATAGCTGCAGTGATGATGAGTCGGGAAGTGAGACCACTTCTTGTCAAGAACAGTGCAGTTCAGGGTACAACAAAAATACAATATCAGAGGACAGCGTTGGTGTGGTATCACAATATCACAGCACACTACCACAAGAACCCTTTGAAGCTTTTGCAACTTACAGACCCCAAAGACTTTCCAATGGAGATTTGGACTCTCTGTAGAGCAAACGTTAGTCTATTGAACAAGGCCTCCTTTTCTTACACAACTATCGCGGACCCCTTAGATGTAGTAACCAGAGCCAAACTGGAAACAAATACAATAGGGAATACTGTGGGTTTACCCATAGGACAAATCCAAACCTGTAGCCCATGTCTGTCCTAAGCCCTTTGTAGTTTACGCATTATTTTTTGTAAAAGAAATGTGGTTAGCTCAAGTGCATGGGCCAATGTCTGAGCTGTCTCAAAAGTACTCTCTGAAGAAACTGAAGACATTATAACTTATTTTTTTATCATTTGGATTCAGATTAAGTCAAATCCTCCCCAAAGCTGTCCCTTACGAAAGGCATTCAGTGCTATTCACTGTGGTTTCCTCGCACACAGAAGCACCTTAAACTGTTAGTTTTCAACTAAGCAACACAGCACAGGGATCCTTGGCAGATTCTGACCTTTATCGTTGTGTGACTGTCTCTGCCCATGTGCTGCTGCTCATACCAGCACTAACTTCTCTCACAATTTATTTCCAAACGATACAATCTTTCCCAGGGACATATGCCACGTAAAGCATCTGCTTTTAGGCTGTTCTTGTCCTGGTGGTCATGTCGCAACATGTTGTAGAGACCCAGTGGGAATTTTATTGGCACTGCACCATCAATGTACTTTGATGGGTTCTGCACATTGGACCCACAACAGAGATGGGACAGTTTATATTTATCCTTTTGTTTCCCACAAGTAGACCAAATACAGATGAGGCTGACTGTATCTTCTGTATATTTACAGAAGAACACAAGGATCTTCAGAGTCCTGTGTGAGCTATTATGTTGCTAGAACATAATCTCAGAGCCATGCAAGCATCCTGCTCCTGAATATAGTTATAATCTAGCCATAACAACACATGATCATCAGCTAAATGCCAATATTTTCGTAGTGTGTGCTATAATTTATACTTCTGACTATTAATCTGGGGGCAGGGAGGATCCCAATAATTACTGGTTTGTTTCTCCAACAAACACAAAGGTGGGAGACGCAGCATTCAGGAGGAGTATGAAACAAAGCAAAAACACTGAAAAGAAACAAGTGCAAAGATAGGAAACAAAATAACTTTTAAAATTATGTTAACTAGGATAGTGAGTTCTGAATTTCAAGCCAATACAAAGACATGTGTAAGAGAAGTGGGTTTCTTTAACGGTAACAATATAATTGTCTTCTAAGCAAAAATAACAATGGAAGTAATCAGCCGAATTTGCTGGTCAAAGCCAGCTGAAACAAAAGCAAATACAACATTTATTACAATCATTACATGCCCTGACAGCCTTTGGAACTACTGAATGGCTATTGAAGGGAGGTTCATGGATATTTGCACAACTGGTCATATTTGCTAACAGTCCTCTTAAAGACTTTGATCTCTATTCATAAAATTTGCCTTTGAAACAGTTCAATAACACAGTGCAAAGTACTGCACTGGCAAGCTGGACTTCCAGATACCTGTCTACAGAAACACTTTCCTGTGTGGAAGTAGGGCATTATTTAACTCCATTTGTCTTGTTCCTGATTTGGTGCCATACCAGTGATGCTTTTCCAAAGTATTTTGCTCTATAAAAAGCAGGAAAGTTTTTTCAGAGATTTACTCCAGGAAAAGAAGACAAATGGAACTGGAGTTCAGGGATTTTTACTGGAGCTGCCCTGAGTCAGATAGAATTCCTCCTAAACCATACATATTTTTCCTGATGCAGATATACCTCACAAACAGGACTGCACTTTTATTCTCTCAGTACATTGCTGGAAAAGCTTATTGAAGAAATGTTGCTTTGAGAAATTAGATGTAACAATTTCAACCCATTATTGTTTGTCAATGGCTGGGTGCAGTGTCAGGAGCAAGAGCTGTGTGATCTTTGATCTGAGGGAATGCTACCAAACCTCACGGGTCCTGGTCTGAGATACAAACGGCTCTTCTCACACAGAGTGAAAGGGTGCCTTATTTTCCCCAATCCCACCAGCCCTGCCACATTAAGACTCTCTGCTCTCATAGGCAAAGGACTGGGGGATGCATAGTTGTGAGACAGTTTGAATACTTCTGACAATGCATGCCAAAAACTGAAGTCCCTTTTCCAGCGAAATGCGAGACAGGACAGCTGCTCCTTTCCTGAGAGGAGCATCACAACTCGCGGCCGGTCCCCTGGTGCTTGCTCAGGGGGAACAGTGCTGTTTTCAGAGGGCTGCGGAAGCGTGCAGCACGTTAGCTGCTTCCCCCACGTGACCACTCACTGGCACAGTTCCCCAAGCATTTGCACCCTGCTACGCTCCATGCATGCGTACACAGGGGACTGGGAGATTTTACTTCTGAGTAATTGGGAAACTTAAGCCTTTAAAAAAAATTATTTCCAAAGTCTTACAGTTAAATTCCAGCAAATGCTCGATTGCTTTAGAGTCAGAGAGGAAGTAATCTGTTTTGAGCTGTTTTGATATACTCTGTCATTAATGTGTAATTATAAAAGTGACCAAGTAACCTTTATGGTTTGCAGTGTGCAAGTCTGTGTTTCAAAATGTGAATCTGAAAGGATTCAAAATGTACTAAATGTCAGTTTGCACACAAGTAATACCACAGATGACTCCTCTAGTGGTCAGGGCCTTCTCCTGAAAAGCACAGGATGATGCAGATGATGCAGTGGTTTTGACACAGAGTTTCACACAAAACCATAGAAACCAAGAAAATATTTGTGGACGTTCCATTAACATTTGCAGATAAGTAGAAATGAAAATTATTCTGAACACAGGATATGGTGAGGCTGAACAACTAGATCATCACTTCCTCTTTAGCACAGTTCTGACTTAGAATGAAAAAATGCTTTGCTTAGGTAAGCTACACCACCAGTGAGACAGGCTCTCCCTGAGAAATAAAGCACTTGATAAAGAGTTGCTTGATAAAGTCCCATTTTTAGGATGAAAAAAGCAAGCACCTGAATTGGTACATTTCACTTAAATTTTGCCTCTCCTGAAAATCTGACACACATGTAAAGTGGCACATGGTGATTGCTCTGTAGGAAAAGGGGTTCGTGCTCACACACTGACAGAGATCCCAAATTCAGAGCAAGAGTCCTAAATACTTTGGGGTTTGTAGGCTTTAGTGACCATGTAGCATTTTAGTCCTCTCATCTAATAAACTTCCCTCCTTTGCCTCCTCCTCGCTTCTCACCCTGCCTGGTCTCTTTAGCTTCTCTCTTACACCAGCCAGGTTCCTCCCAGCTGTCCCCTGACCTCCTGGCTCCTCTCCCCTGCCTCTGCCTCTCTGCCAGGTGCCAGTGCCCCCCCGACAGCGTCACTGAACATGCCTAACCCCCTCCTCCTCATGTGCAAATGCCTGGGTGGACGCAGCCTGCCGCCCCATCGCGTCCAACATGCTCTGCCTTCTCTCACGTCTTCCCCGTCTGCTCCCTTGCACCCTCAAACTTCCCTGAATTTCACACCATCTCCTCTCTTCTTCCAGCTGCTTCCAAATGCTCCTGGGCCAAATTAGCTCCTTTTCCCCCTTTCACTTCTCAGCCCACTCTGCCTGTCCTGAGGATACCCTATGATCTTTGTATTTCATAGATTAAGCTACACACAAAAAGATTGAGAATAATTCATACAATAGAAGGAGTATGCAACTAAAGGAGTAACTATGCTCCTTTTCCAGTGCACATTTTATGTTTCCACTACCCAGATAAGATGGGAGGCTATCAGATAAGAACAAGATCAGTAGTTGCAGATTGCTGCTTCTAACAATTTAAATGTCAACAGATTTAGGCAGTGCTTCAGGATGACAAGAAATGAAATATGTCATTAGAAAGGAAAAGAACATCTGCAAAAGTCTAGTGAGGCTTATTTCCCCTAAATAAGGAAAGGTGCTCAGTGAGAAGCAAGGGGAGAGTTGCATTTAGAGTCAGAAGAAAGATAACCTTATTTTGAAACAAAGCTTTCTGCCTTATTATACCTGACAGATGTTGCTATCTGGGATCACCTAGCCCCAGGAGTGTCAATCCTGCACTTCATGGTATCTGTTTCTGATGAAAAATCAAATTCGTGGTAAGTATCTTCTCACTAGCATTGTGAATGCAAGATCTAGGCATTGTGTCAGTCTCATTTAATTTCCATTTACTTTACAGGGACGTTTTTCACTTTTGGATAACTGCTTAATTTAAATGGATCTGCACAATACACAGCCCTTTTCAAATATAGCTGCTGTCTGAATAGCATACAGTTCAAAAAAGACAAAGACAAACAGAGGTTTAGGGACGGGGTTGAGTAACATAGACACAAAAGACTACATTTCGGTTTGCCACAGACTTTAAGTACAGACCAGTGCCCAGTTGCACAGCTACAGGAACAAAGCAAGGATCAGACTGTAACACAACAGCTATGTCTGTGCTAGGAAATTAAATGGGACAGGAAATGTTCCTTTGGCACCAAGACCAACAGGCACAGAGTGGCCTATGTCCATATTATTAAATTCTCAGCCTCCCAAAAAAAGTGACCACAAGCAAACTGCTTATTGGGAATGGTCTTTGGTCCATGCTTAAATGTGCCTAGGAACTGTCTGGGGGAAAGGCTTGTTGGCATAACTCAAAATCATGCCAGGGACTATTCTAATAATTTAACAGCATAGACAATTGAGCTCCAGTACCCACGAATGTTTCCTGGCACTCTTTAATCTACTAGTCAGTGAGTCACGCTGTGGCCCCAGGTCTTCCTTTCACTCCAGAGAGAAGGCGTTTTGCTATGCTTCCCTCATCTCTGCTGACTCAGAGGGGGCTTCAGGAGGGTGATGGGGTGGGTGAGGCATGGCCCACTCCTCATCTCACCCAGCAACTGGTCTTATTTTATCGTGTGTTGTACAGGTCAGATGAACACATGCTGCAACTGCTTACTATCTATGAGGAGAATCTAACTGACTGGCCCACATGTAGACAGCTTCCTTGTAGACATCTAAAGCTGGATGAGATTAATCTACTTTAATTAGTTCTGAGGGGACTTTGAAGAGGCCTATAAAAACTTTTAAAATATTAGTTTTCATAGAAAACATGCCACCAAAGCAATTAGTAGGATGCTTAAATTCATACAAAGTATCCTTGAATCCAAATAAAATTCTTCTTCCAAATATTTTGCTTTTATGATTGTGGTTTCTACTGTACTCCTTTTGTGCTGATTTTGTTAATTGTATTTGCCATTAGACACTGGCTCATTTCATTGCTTAAAGTGTTTCAACCTCATGCAAGATTATTTGTAGATTTCTTTTTTTTTTAAAGTTTCCTAACATGGTTCTTAAACTCAGTTATTTTGTTCAGTTCTCACTAATGAGCCTTTCACGTTATTTTGGGGGCATATTTTTGACTCTTTCATTTATTTTTGTCCTTTCTTTTTGAGTAAAAATGAGAGAATATAGCTATAGAATATACGGTGTGGTGTACAGAATATAGCTCTTTAGTGTTGTTTTGTGGTCTCCCAACTTCACAAAAAAATCTATTGCTTCAAACTGTTCAGGAGGATTCAAAGTGGAATCTTTCCAGCTTGGCTATGGAGCTGATACTGCATGGCTTCTTCTTCAGGTCTGGGACTCTAAAATGACTTGCAGAATTTTCATCAAGCTTTGTAGAAAATTTATTCAGAGATGTATGACTAAGCCCGACACATTCGCCAGAGATTAGTCGGAGAGGTCAGAATTGCAGAGGGCTAAAAATCTGGGCTTGCATACTGACTGAAGCTTGGCTTCAATCAATTAAGGAGAGACTCTCTCTCCCTGATACACCTCGTTCTCTCTTGCTAGAAACACTATGTTGAATCTCCACAGAGTCTGAGAAGAAGAAATGTAGTTTCTTCAATGATTATGCTTACAAATGGCTCACTGGTCTGACAGTGTAACATTACTTAAAATGAAGTCAATGTAATACTAAGAATTGCTTTGGAAAAGCAAGAATTTGTCTAATAATATTTCATCACCTGCAGTTTGGAATAGTGACTGACAACCAGGATTGAGCAGGGCAGAAGCGGCAATTCAGAGGGTAGGTGACATTAAGTTACGAGGTGATGGCACTTGTGCAGGATCACGGGCTCTGACGCTTGCCCTGCCTGCTGCTCTGAGCTGCCCTGGACACCCCGAAGTGGCCCTGCTCAGTGCTGTGTGGGCAGACCTTCGGCTGCCTCCAGCCCTCTCGTGCACTGAGTTACCTCGAGCTGTTCCGCTCCAGCAGCAAGGCCATTCCCCACCTCCCCTTCTGCCTCCATGCCCCCCAGGGACACCCCAAAGACCTGTTGGAGAGAGCACATCTGTGCCATATAGGGGAACTTTTCTCTCTCTCTCTCTCTCCGGGGTGTGTGTGTGTGAGTCCCAGGAGACAAGGGAAGGGGGTATTCTGTGGTGTGCTGGAGCAGGGAGCAAGGAGAGAAGAGACGAGGAAGGGAGAGAGGGATGATGCCTCATTGCACCCTGCAGCACCTTGCACAGCAAGGGGGGAGAGCCCTTCCAAAACCCGTCTGTCCAAAAGGTGTAATGAGGCCAAGACAGGTGAAGGTAGCGTAGGCTTTTTAGCCTTTTTAGCATGACTTCAACATATTTTTCATCCCTGGTTTGGAAGAATATGTCTGCTTTACTTGCTGGGGACTGTCTTACTGTTTTTTCCCATCACTATCCTTAAATCACTCACTGAGCGTTCTGCATTTATAAAGCAAGCCTAGGACACTGATTTATCTCTGAAGACCTATTATTATTTCTAACTGTGATGGAGAAGGTAATAATCACTACATTCTATAATATGCTTTAGTTTCCAGGGACAATATTAGCCTGAATAATTATATTTGTTTAATCTCTTTTTTTGAGTAGTGGTTCTTCCACTATTATGTAACTGTTTTCAGTTCCATCACAGAGACAGCTATGGCTGGAGAGAATGTTCCTTTCTTACAAAAAGATGATTACATTTTGTCTGTTTATAGAAACATTAAAATAGTTTCCCTTTCAAAGTAAAAGTGTACCAAACTACCTTGGTGGCTTTTAGAAAGCACTTTATTTCTTGACAAAAGGTTTAATATATATAAAACCAATATCTTTTCAAGTGCTATGGGTCTCATGAAGTGCACATGGTAACAGCAACTTTATCTCTTTATTCACATTTGTCTCCATTTTAGGCACAAGCTTGATTAATTGCTTTGTGAAAAGTGGAAGGATTGTTGTTGCTATTTCATTAGTTAATTCATCAAGCAAAAAATTATCTATTTATAGAAGACACAAATCCTGATCATACGTACCACCCACTATCGTTATTTAGAATGCGAACTCCTCTTTTTGATGCTGAACCATTTGTGCTTTGAAGAAAGCAAGATTTAGAATTTACTGTAAGATAGCTTGACAATTAGAGAAGCCATTCATTTCTTTGATGGTTTATACACACAAAACTAATCAGAATTTTGCTTTTTTTATTTCTAGGAAGAACCACATAACCCAGTGTGATGGTGCTGCTGAGGAGTATTTCTAGGTACATCCGTTGTCAGTAGGAATGCATGCATCTGTGCATGTGTGTGTCTGTGTGTGTTTGCACATCATGCATGTGTACCTAAATGCTAGCAGAAGATACTTTACCTACATTCAGTGGTTTTTACCTTAAAAGTATCTGTGCATTAAGCAGCTGCATGCAACAGCTACTAGAAAGGAAAACTGAAGATGAGGTAATACCTTCAATCATTAGTGGTAATTCAGAACTTACCTCAAAACTAATACAAGGAAATATATTTCCATTAAGCAGAATATTTCATAGAATTCTTTACTGACACCATACAGAGAACATTTCTGAGAGACTACCTGAAACTTCATTTGAACAGTGTTTTATCTTTGTATGAAAATAAAGAAGCAAAAATAATGTCAGCAACACTGCTGTGCCCGATCCAGAGCCCACAAAAGTCAAAGAAAGACTTGCCAGGGCTTGTTGTGCATTAAAATAAAAACCATGATGCCCTGATCTCTGAGCTGCAGAGCAGCCTTCTATGGAATATGGGACAGCTCAGTTCTTTAAAGAAGTGGTCAGCTTTGCATGCAATGAGGCTTCTGCTGATATTGCAATGTATTTACATACAGAGATACTTGACAACACTGAGAGTGACAGGCTTTAAAAAAAAGTAGCCATTCTTCAGTCATGCTTCAAGACTCAATAATCAAACAAAATTTGTGGATTGAAACAGCAAATTCTAATAATCTATTGCAGAGTTGAAAAAAATGCAAACGCAGAAAGAAATAAACACCATTGGCTTCTTATGCTGATTAAGTCAAACATTTACTATATGAAAGAAGAGAATTCCTTCCACAATACCAAAAGAAACAAAGCATTAAAAAGGTGGCAGCCTGCAACTGTGCCTTGGAATACA